CCCCGGCAAGCATACGTCACACACATGTAGGGACGGCACCCCATGACACATGCCGTACACTGTCGTGAACTTCTCTCCTTCCCCCCCCCAGCAGCGCCACACCACTGGCGCACCTGTCCACATTGCTGCACGGTTCTCCGTCCCCCTCCCCCCGGGGGGCCCCGGGCGACATCCCCCCACCCACCGTGGGCCCCGGGGACAGCGGCCCCCCCAGGGCCGCGGGGGCCCCGCGAGACGCTGACTCCTTCTTCGCCACCACCTGCTGAATGAGCTGCTGCAGGCTGTAGTTGGGGGCCTGCAGTGGCGGTGGTGGTGGTGGTGGTGAGGAGAGGGAGAGAGGTAGAGGTAGAGGGAGGTAAATGCGGGGTGAGGGGTGAGGGGGAAGGCAAAGGATGTTCAGCTCACTGAGGGGGGGGAAGAGAGGGGGGAAAGAGCGGGGCAGCCATGCAATGGGCAACAAGGCAACGGGTCAACGGACGCCTCGTGTCACCTCGTGAAGCAAAGTGAGTGGCGAGATGCGGTGTGGCAGGGAGGGGCAATGGAGCGAGGGCAGGGAGGAGGAGGGGGAGGAGCGAGGAGTAAACCTGAGGCAACTGACCCAGGCAGACGGAGAAGACCGATCAACCAACAGGTAGCGGGGGACAGATGTCCCCGGACGGGACCCGGGTGGGGGGCCTCCGGCTGTTGGATAAGGAATGCGTGGGAGCAGGGGGAGGTGCTGGTGCTGCGGACTGTAGCGGACCGAGTAACAGACGGAGGAAACGGAGTCATGCGGCCCGGGGGGGCATGGGGGGGGGCATGGGGACGTTCGTTCATTGGTTCCTTGCCCGGTGCACGTATGCCTCTGCCTGGGTCCATCCCCCCCGCCCCCGCCCCCGGCCCCCCGGCCCACTAACCCTGGACTCGATCTTCTTGCGGCAGATGGGGCACTGCGTCTTCTTGTTGCGGTCGATGTGCTGCTCCAGACAGCGGCCACAGAAGCTGTGACCTGCGGTCCACAAGCCCCGAGTGAAGAGAGGGGGGGGAGGGGAGAGGGAGAGGGAGGGGGGTCAGGACAGGCGCACCCGCCCTCAGCCACGCCAAGCTCCCTCACGCAGTAACACCATCCAGACTCCAAACCCCAGACTCCCCAGAGTCCCCTTACAGGATATACTTCTACAAACCCCTAAAGTACTCCGGGACCACCTCACAAAGACGACTTCCCCTCCACCCTTCCCTCAGCCCCCTTTACCTCCCTTTTTCCCCGCCCTCCCGCGTACGGCAGTTGATACCCCCTGTCTTGGATGTGATTTCCCCCCTCCCCCTCCCACTCCCACTCCACCCTCCCCCGGCCCCCGGGACCCACCGCAAGGAAACAGCATCACGGGTGCGTGTTGGGGCGGCACCATCAGCTCGTAACACACGGGACATGTGTTCTGACTCTCCAGCTCCTTCACCAAGAAGGTGTCCAGAGTGCCCTGCTGCGCGGCTAGACTCTCACTCTCCCGCTGAGGGTACGGACAGCAGGAAGAGGACGACGAAAAGAAGCCGATGTGTCGACACACACACACAGCCAAGTGCGTGTGCGTGTGTGTATGTGTGTGTTTGTACGGAAGATCGGGAAGCAGCCGGAAGGCAAGGAGGGAGGGGGAGAGGAAAGGCGGGGCAAGGGTCTTGAGTTGGGTGAAACACATACACCCCGGGTTGTGGTAAGGTTCAGACTTGGGCTGGGGTGGGTGGTGGGTGGTGGGTGGTGGGTGGTGACAGTTGTTGTTGATTGCATACGCAGGGGCTCCTGTTGCTCCTCATGTGTGCTGCCTTCTTGAATGACACTTCATGTTAGTGAATGGTTAGGGTGTTTGTGCTTCACTAGGCTTCTTCATACTAGTTGCCGCGGGTCTATTTACCGCGACTTGGTACGAAAACACATATTGCTGACGCCGAGATTCGAACCCACTACTTCGGCGAACTTTCTTACGCCTGTACAACTATTCTACTAAATTGCTGGTTTCCGCGGTTGATACTGGGGTTGCTTCATTTTGTGGGACTCGGATAGCTGGATTGGGAAGTCTTGGGGACTAGATATTACTGTCGCCGAAATTCGAACCCACCACCTCGGCGCCCTAACCTTGTCGTTATCTCTTTGCTCCGGGACGTGGCCAAACAGAACTTTTTTAAGCCTATAGAATTATTCTACTAAATTGCACCGGGCCGGCCCGCCATCAACCCCCTTACGGGGGTTGCACAACAGTGGCAAAACCGCTGCCCCCTGGGGACATGGTACTTGCCCCTTCGTGCTCTGTTTGCCTCCAAAGCCCAGCAACATAAACGAAACTGCATTAGCTTACGATGTGCTAAACGAGGAATGAAAACCTTAGCATGTGTTGGCCACATGACGGCTGCGGCTCCCGAAAAGGGCAGCCCCATCCAGTGCTTATACTTCGCCATTTGCACTCCCGGTTGCTTCCCATCTGATGGGTACTCCTCTGGTAAGACAGTCAGACGCGTATGGTCCCAGCCGCTCATCAAACGCTCTCTTAGTGCCGTTATCATCGCTCCTTCGGGTAGAGGTCTACTCAACAACCAGTCAACACGCTCCTTTACCCCCACGACTTCTTGCGGTATTCCACTCCAAATGTTGCACTCCAAGAAGGAAAACAGTCGTAACATTGAGATTCCCCAACCCTCCCATTCTGGGTTGGTCAGGGCATCGGTTATCTCCTGCCGTAAAACAGCATGAGCAATGGATCCCACTTGCTTTTGAAGGCGGTTCCAGAAACGGAGGATCTGCTTCACCATGTAATATTGTAAGGGGAGTTCAGCCAGCTCCGCGTACAACAGCCTGTGGGATGGCCGTGCCGTCCCCACTACCTGCCTCATGAATAAAATCTGCAGCTGGACTGCGCTATCCTTCAAACAGGCTTCGAACATGCCCTCCGCAAGGTTGGCTTTATCCCGCCGTCTTCCCACCCTGTCCACGACCTCTGCCAGCGCAAAAGGGCCCCATGCCTGGCAGCCATACAACAGAATTGCTCGGACTTGGGTTGCAAAACACCGCATTCGTACATCGGGGGCAAACAGCTTCATTTTGTCCAACTTTGCACTTAAGGAAAACATAGCGGACCGACCTGCATCACATAACTGCTGACGGCACGCACTAAAAGGCCGTTCTGGCCCATATACCAAGCCCAGATAGCGAGTGCTATCTTTGGCAGGTACTACCTGGCCTGATAGCCATAACTGTTGACATCTCTCGCTAAGTTCCGACTGCTGGGTGCCATCACATGCAAAAACAAGCCTTTCACACTTTGAGACATTTGGTCGCATCCCAAAAGCTTCACAAAACAAGTCCACAAGATGTAGCAACTCAGACATTCGCTCTACTGACGTCGCTAGCAGACTAACATCGTCTGCATACAACAGTATGGAGATGCGCTTACTGTCCACAAGGGGTGCGTCATGCTTACGTATTCCAGCTTCTACAAGGTCATGAGTATCAATCAGATCAGCTAGTGTCTCGATGAAGAGTCCAAACAACTCCGTAGATAAAGGACACCCTTGCTTCACTCCTTGCTTAGACTCAAACTCACCCCCCGCTTTCTCATTTACCTTAATCACCATGGACACCTTCTCGTACGCTTTTCTCAGAGCACCTAGCATGGGGCCGCTAATCCCCCTCTCCTGCAACCGAAGCCACATGTGTTCGCGAGGCACCCTATCAAAGGCCTTCTCAAAGTCAATCTGCACTATTATCAATGGTGGTTGTCCCGCGATCCGATGCCGCCTGACCAGGTGTTGCTTAACAAAGAGGTGGTGAGCAGTGCCAAAACCCCGCCTGAAACCCGCTTGGCATGGGTGCCGCAGGTCCAGTATTTCCCCAGCACGTACCAGGCGGTTAAGGATCACTGACGCATAGCAATTCACGTTGTATGCTTTCAGTTCTTTCAGTTCAGGCAAAGGAGCCACCCACATTTCTGGCCTGCATGCTGGCCTGCAGGCTGGCACACCGCGGCCTTTCACCCAAAAAAATTACATACACTTGTACACGCGCATTTTGAGAATCGCACGCACGCATCCGCGCGGTACAATTCGCGCCTGGCTTTTGGGGCGTCTTGTACGAACCGTTTATTCGGCACAGTACGACCGGACACGATTGTGTGAGGGGCTGCTTAAACACTGGGGTCCTGGTGAAGCAGCTGACCGTGTACTAAAGTACATAGATGCGGAAGGTGCCGAAGTATGTCGGTGAAACATGATGTGGCAGGAGTGGAGAGAATAGTGCAGCGGTATACTGTGAGTGTAGTTGAAGGGTTACAAGGCGTTCGGCGCACGCCGTGGACTCCACTCACTGACTCAGAGTGGAAAAATGGCGTTGCACCTAACACGCCATTGCAGCAAATAATGAATTGGATTACGAATAGGTTGTTCTTAATAAGTTCTCCTGTGCACGCGCTTTTTGTATCTTCAGGCTTGTCGCACGGCAAAATAATAGTACCCCAGCAACCCTAACCTGAAATCTATTATTATAATAGTAATAATTACAAACACGTTGTTCGTGTACATACAGTATGCGCTTGTAGGCAGAGAATCTAGGGGGGATATCCAGATGTTTTGGTTCTATCGCGGAGCAACTAATCAACCTTCCAAGGACCTCCCGTTCTCATAGCACCCGTGCTGACAATCCACTGGGGGTAGCCCGGCCTGTGCGAAAAAAAACAGATACGCTTGATGATTGGGTAAGGTCCCCACCACCCAAGCGGCCTCGGAAGCGTCCTGGCAGCACGTGAGCGGAAGGCATATGAATTGGCACGGTTGGAACGTGCTGCTTCGGGCCTGGCAGCTACACTGGCCAACCTGCAAGACCGGCTTTACCGTCGGGGCTCACTTGCACTAACCAAGAAAGAGTGCAACAAGCTGAGCAGGGGCTGCTCGGCCGCCAAGGCCAGCCTGCTATCGGTGCTGGCGCTGGCTGGGGTACATCACCGTTGTGCCTTGGGTCACGTACAGTGTGCCAGCAGTTGATGCAGTGATTGCTTCCCTTGAGGGTGAGGCAGCTGTCCCGGTTGTCGAACCTGCTGGGCAGGCTGACAGAAAGGCTGGCGGGGCAGGCATACCTCAGGCACCAGCCCATGTGCACCTGCTGTGGGAGGGTGATGAGGTGATGTCGTGGGAGGTCAGTGTGGCAGATGACCTTGTGCAGCGCTGGCTCCGTTGCAATGAGGAGTGCATCATTGTGGAGCGTGAGCTCCATGACATGGTCATTTACTACACGTGCAGGATAAGCCTTCTGCGTGCTCAGAGGGAAGTTATCCGTGGGCACATTGCCGTTCTGCAGCAAGATGCGGGTGGAGGGGGAAATGGGCAGCAGCAGGGCGAGATGCATGGCCAGCAGGATGCTGTAGAAGCTGCTCTGCAGCATGCATTCAATGGCCACCAGATTTACCTGCAGCAGCACCAATACACGCCCGTTGGTTTGGCCAGGGAGGTGTGCACTGTGTTGGCAGGAAAGGCTTTTGTCACGGAAGAAGAGGTGGTGAGGTTACAGAAGCTGCTGGATGCTGCTGCATCCACCCAAGCTAAGGCATGTGTAATGCTTGGCAGGTCGGCCATTGTCCTGGAAGCTGGACAGGCTGAAACGGAGGTATCTGATGAAGGCCAGAGCAGTGGAGATGAGGAGGAGCCCATTGCACTCGATGGGGTGTTTGAGGTCGGGGAAGAGCCTCTCGATGTGGAGGAAGACCTGGTCCCCTAAGTGACGCCTTGTGTATGGAGACTGTTGTACTTCCATGTAGACTCTGTGCTCGATAAACTGTTCGAGGTTGGATGTGCCAAACTCGGATTCTTACTGTAAAACTACTCGGATAACCATTTTCATGTACGGGGAGTCTAGTTGTGAAGTCAGATTTTCAATTGGGGATGATCGGCGCTTTCTGGCTGGGCAGGGCTATGCCCTCCGGCCTGGCCTTGAAGGCCCGTGCATCAGGGGTCTGCCATATGCTAAACTCGGATTCTTACTGTAAAACTACTCGGATAACCTGGATGCCCTGCGAGACATTACTCCAACCTGGGCCCAGGTCTACAGATACACGATGGATCAGGTTTACCACTCGGTGAAGAACAAACTGTTCCCCCTTAATTAGCCCATTGAATTTCCATCCTCCTAAAAACGAAACCCATATTGCCAAAGAGGCCACCGGCATTTAATGCTAGTCATAACGATGGGAGATGTAGGACTTTCTGTTGCCTTGCTTGCTGGCAGCCCGTACTGGCCGCTTGGAGGACCCACCCATGCACGTCACGTTGTACCCACTCTCACTCTGTCCCTCCTCAGTCATGCCATCCTGGCTCCCTTCCTCCACGACTGCACTATCCTCTTTCCCTCCCCCCTCTTTCCCTCCCTCCTCCTCTTTCCCACCCTTCTTGCCCCCCCCCTCCTCCTCTTTCCCTCCCTCCTCACCCCCTCCCTCCTCCTCGCCGCCTGACCACCCCTTCTATCGGGGGCATTGGCACCTGCTGCTGCTGCCACCAGGTTAAACCCGCCCTCCACAGCAGCTGTCAGTGGGCTGGCCCCCCACGGGCTGGGCACCTTTGCTGCTGCGGTTGCTGCTACTGCCTGACCACCCCCTCTATCGGGGGCATTGGCACCTGCTGCTGCTGCCAACAGGTTGAGCCCGCCCTCCACAGCAGCTGTCAATGGGCTATCATGAAAATTGGTACCCACTGCTGCTGCTGCCGTCTGATCACCCCCTGTATCGTGAGCTACTGCCAGCGTCACCAGCTCGTCACGCGCACCAGGCTGCTGCAGTGCACGCACAGCAACCTCCAAGTCATCTAAGACCTGGGTAAGCCGCCGGTGCAGGTCTGGACGTGACTTAAGCAACTGGTGCACGTTCCTGCAGGACTTAATCGTTCTGCCCTGAACGGGGTTGAGTAGCCACGAGACATAGCCGATGCCAAGGTTGCTCGCATCAGTAAGGACGTCAACGGCATGCTGCTTCAGCTTGCTGGCCATCCGGCTTTTTCGCTTTTTATCTAATGTGGCAAGATCCTCCTCTGCATGTATACAGAGGAGTGGACAGTTGTTTGCCTTTCAAGTGCTTGGATTACTGTCACCATCACTGTTTTTCCTGAGAGACCGGCGCCGCGCTGCTACGAAGGTTTTCGCAAAGACGTAAACATGCTAGGCCTATGCATGATGTAAGGCGCGTCTTCTGGCCAGAAATGGGTCGCAATGAGCAGGTCAAAGCACAGCAGCGCTTATCTACTTTAGGCATTCTTCTTACTGAACAAAAATCTTACAAATGAGGTATGTAGCTACATGTAGCTAAAATAATTATTTTGAACGATCGGCCGTAATCAAAGTGGACATCCACTCAGTTAGTGGAACCAAAAGTCCACTCCAAGAGTGGACACAGTAGGGCCCCCTAAGGTATCCAAAAATCGGAAACTATTTCGGCATTGGCAGTAAGGCTTCGGCCCGTACACTGCCAACCCCTGGCCTACGCAGTAAGTTGAAGACCGCTTGAAAATCTGATCACGGCAAGTTCTTCTAGTCTTGCGCCATGAAGTTAGTGTCGTTCCCCCAGCCGACCGCATGCGGTTGAAGCGCGGGTCACGAAGGATATTCTCAACCTTATCGGCGATGTGCTTGTAGAGGTGCATCCTAGTGGAGGATTTGTACTTGGATATCGTCCCCTTCAATATTGCATCCTTCTTCTTCAAGGACCCCGACATATTCAGCTTCACGAAAAGACCCTATTTAAGCCGATAGGTGACAAGCATGTCCGCCGGTCCCGGTTCATGGCGCCCGGTGCCTGGGGTGCACCGTTGCTGACCAGCTCCGGCTGCAGATGCTGCAAGGTCCGCCACAGCGTGCACTTGGTGCTCGTGCCATGCACAGTCACACACTCCATGCTGGCTAGCGCTTTGGCGGCGTCGGCAGGCGCCGCAGAACCTCGTCCAGCATCGCCTTCATGTTGGCTATGTCAGCCTTCATAGCGGCCATCTCAATCTTTATAGCGGCCGTCTCAGTCTTCATAGCCCCCATCTCAGCCTTCATGACGACCGTCTCAGCCTTCACGCCGGCCATCTCAACCTTCACGGACGACGAGTCGGGC